TGGCCGGAGCACACGCTGGGATCACACGACCCCAGACAGGTGTTCATTCAACCTCTTTTTGAATTTACCCAAGGTAGGAGCGAGGACCACTTCCTTAGGAAGTTGGTTCCAGATCCTAGCCACCCTAACAGTGAAATAGTGCCTCCTAATCTCTAACCTGAACCTTTTCTCCAGCAGCTTCTGGACATTGTTCCTCATCACCCCAGCTGCTGCTGGGGGGAATAAGACCCTTCCTATTTGCTGCTGATCTCCCCTGACAAGTTTGTAGGCAGCCACCAAATCCCCACTCAGCCTCCATTTGCTGAGGCTGAAAAGGTTCAGGTCCCTCAGTCTCTCCTCATAGGGCCCGCCCTGTTGCCCTCCAACCAAGCGGGTGGCCCTCCTCTGAAACCTCTCAAGGCAGGCCACATCCTTCTTAAAGTGTGGTTCCCAGAACTGGACACAGTACTCTAATTGAGGCCAGACCAACGTTGCGTAGACGGGGAGTATCACCTCTCTGGATTGGCTTGAGATGCATCTTTGGATGCACGATAAGGTGCGGTTGGCTTTGCTGGCTGTGGCCTGGCATTGGCAGCTCACGTTCATCTTGGAGTCAATAATGACGCCAAGATCCCTTTCTGCCTCTGTGCTCACAAGGAGGGAGCTCCCCAGCTTGTATGTATGCTGTGGATTCCTTCTCCCCAGGTGCAGCACCCTGCACTTATCCACATTGAAGCACATCCTATTACCATCCACCCACTTCTGTAGTCTATCTAAATCTAATTGCAACCTCTCTCTCCCTTTGAGAGTGCCTGCCTCTCCCCACATCTTGGTATCATCGGCAAACTTGGACAACGTGTTTTCCACCCCCTCGTTCAAGTTGCTGATGAAGATGTTGAACAGTGTAGGCCCCAGGACCGAGCCCTGGGGGACCCCACTATTTACATCCCACCAGTCGAGTACAACCCATCCACCACCACTCTCTGGGTGCGCCCCATCAGCCAATTTCTGACCCATCCAACTGTGTAGGCATCAACGCCACAGTTACTCAATTTATTAAAAGACATTTTTGAAAGACATTATGGAGGAAATAAGAGTTTGCCAGAGTTATATCTACTAAGAACAGGAACAGAGCCTCATCTTTGGCTGACACACCCTCCTTTTCCTGCTTCACTAAAACTGAAACTATTGGTGCTGCTGAAGCCTGGTCTCCAGGGCTGGACCTCTGATCTGTGAAACAGGAGCAGAGACCAGCAGCCTTAGCAGGCAGCAACATCCCCCCTGTGGAATGTTAGCCTCATAAATGAAGCATTGACTTAAAAAGGAGAGATGTTTATTAACACCTGTGAAGCAAAAACCAATGATCCATGAACGCAATGGCCCATCAATGGGTCATAAACTCCCTCAGATGTCTGAAGAGTTATAATATCAGGGCTCCTGTACTGGGGAGCAGGGATCAAAGCAGCTGGTTATCTCACCTTCTCTGCTTAATACACATGCCCCAGTTTTGGACGGGGAGCTGATTTGGGAGGAGTAGGTGCAAGCAGTTAGGCAAGAATATACAGTAGTCACAGGCCTGTTCTTTGCAAATCAAAGGCAGTGATTCCTCTCCTCTATCTGGCACTGGGGAGGCCTCACCTGGAGTCCTGGGTCCCATCCATCCACCCTTCACTTCAAGAAGGAGGTGGATGGATGGGAGAGTCTAGTGCAGAGACACAAATGATTTAGGAGCCTGGGAGGCATGGGGACAGGCTGGAAGAATTCAGGGAATGGACTTTGGAGAGAAGCCAGAGGGAAAGGATAGAAGCAGGCTTCTCTCTGCAGCCACAGGGGATGGGACTAGGACGGAGACATGGATGAATGGATGATGTAGCTCTGGGATAGGTAACCCCTGGCACAAGTGCCAGATCATGGCATGTGAAGGCATTTTGCTTGGCACGTGCACCTCAGGGCAAACAGCAGGGAAGGCACTGGGGCTGCACTGCCACAAGGATCAGGCCCCTCGAGACTCTCTTATCGTCCGCCCCTGGCACATCAACATCTTACAAGTTGAGGTTGGGTGTTTTCAGCACTCTGCCAAAAAAAAAGTTGCCAACCCCTGGTCTAGCTATAGATAGAAAAAGAGGTCACCTCTAGTTCAGCCCCCTGCCAGAGTCAGGATCAGCCTGTCAAAGCTGGGGGCTGCAGGTTGAGAGTGAGAGGTACCAGCAAGGCTGGCAGGGCTGCAAGTTGGGAGTGAGGGGCAGTGGCCCCTCAAAATTAGCCCCTCCCCACACCAGCTTCTCAGCTCCCTCCATCTCTGCCCCTCTCTGTCTCTCTAAATTCCCTTAATGTTCTCCCATGGTGGGGGGAGCTGAGGGGGGTGTCATGCTCTTAGCTCCCAGCTCCTTGTTACTGTGGATCCTCCTGGAGCTCATTAGCCATGGTCCTGATTGGTTCCATGGGAAGCCATTAAAAAGTTGCCCCTGACTCTAACAAGGCATTCAGGGAGCCAGGGAAAGTGTTTGAGTGTGGAAGCAATTAGAGATGGAGAGGAATAAATCATTCATTAATGCAGGGGTTTTCAACCTTTTTTAATAGGTGCATCCCCGGTGGCCAGGGTGGGGGATGGGTGGAAGGGGGGTAGCGTGCGGCCAAATGTGGAGCGGCAGCAGCATGGACTGGTGGGTAGCAGCGGAGGCCACCATGTGTCAGCTCCCCCCCCACACATACGGGCAACGCCTGTGTGGCCTGCCAAGGGGTGCTGCTGCCCTCGCCTTCACCCAGCCCTGCTCCTGAGAGATGGTGGTATGGGGCAGTGAGTAGTGGTGCTCCACCCCTGCCCACCTGCACATACCCCCTGGGACCTTCCCAAGTACTCCCAGTTGCCAACCCCTGCATTAGTGAATATGCCTCACCCGTGACCTGCAGTCCCCCCACCCCCCTGCCCCTCACTTCTTACCCACAGCCCATCCCCACCCTGCTGCTGCCCCTCACTCCCAACTCATAGCCCCCTGCCCTCCTGGGATGCAATTTGTGGGCTTGGACAAGAGGACAGTGACCCACCACCCACCCAGCCTTCCCCTATAGGGCTGTGACGCCCCCCCCAACACACACACACCTCAACCCCATAGACCCGTTTTTTCCACCCCTTGTCCCTATGGGCCTGTTTCCTTCCACCATGGGCCAGGTCTGTTGTGGTGCCTCCATATTAGGCCCTTTCTCTTTTCCCTACCCCATAATAGGGCCTATCTCTGCCCCCTAGCCCTATATTGGGCTCTGTCTCTTCCCCTACCCCTAAGGCCTTTTTTTCCTTCCCTGCCCCCATATATGGGCCTGTTTCCACCCTCCCAGCCTTTACAACCTCTCTCCATAAGGCCCTCCCACCGCCCCACCTTATATAAGGCCATGTCTCTGCCCCTTTCTGCCATAATAGGCCTTCTATGCACCCCTAAACACACACACAGCCCTATCTCCACCCCCTACTTCCATATAAGACCCTGCCTCATTCCCTACCTCCATAAGGCCTTGACCTCCATATAAAGCCCCAATTCCTTTCCCTGTCCCCATATAAAACCCAAACTCTTCCCCCTAGCCCCATATAAGGCTCCATTTCTCTTCTATCCCCATATAAAGTTAGGCCCCATCCTCATATGGGCCACGGCTCACCCCCCACTTCATATAGGGCTGAGTTACCCCCATATGGAGTTATCTTCCCT